TAAAGACATATTCTATCAACTAATAAAGCTATTTTTTTAAAAGGTAGGACAGAAAGTGACTTCTATACTTTTAAAATATGCCCAAAATTTAGGAGGTCTTTAGACCAAGCCAACTATACCAAAAAAAAAACCAATAGGATAAATAATTAGCGTGTACGCATCGATCAAATAAACAAACTTATTTTACTTTTTTTTTTTTTTTTTTTGCAATGTCCAGAAATAAAAGAAACAGACAAGAAAACAAAGGGGAGGCACTTGGCGGGTAAGTGTTTTTTAATGATGGTGGTGGTGGTTATCGCCTGCCACCTGTCGTCGTCACTCTAGTTATTAATAAAAAGAATGATGATAGTAGTTGATACTTAACACTCATCATTCAAGCATTTTGGTTGAATCCCTAATTTTCTTTTTTTTTTATGTGCATAACAGCAAACCCACGTCTAAAAAACGAAAGGCTGTTGATATGATACCTGCTGGAACAAGTAAGAGCTAATAAAATTAATATCATAATAAATACGACTTGACTTAATTATAAAAATTTAAATAGAAGAAAACTTTGTCCTGCCAGTTGACGTTGCTTCTGAACATAAAAGGATACTTCGTGGTTAGTTAGATAAAATACTTGTTTTTTTTTAAATAAAAAATTTAGTTGTTGCTTTATTATTATATATTTTACAATTTTGTACATCACAGAACAAGACAGGAATATTGAGGAAATATATAACATGCCTTGTCCTTTGGCTGCCTCAAATCCTAAAGCATGGAAGGAATGTAATGAAGATCCCATTAAGATTTTTAACTTAAGACCGCCAGAATGTTGTGGTCTACCAGTATCTGTTTTTGGCAAGTTTCTTGCAGACTATCGTAATGATGAACTACCTATACCAAAAAGAAGATATAAACAAATCTCAAAACTAGAAAAAATCGTTGGACAAATATATCAAAATGAAACTAAACGTCAAAAGGCACTTCGTCCTTTTTTTGCTTTTTTATTTAATGGAATTCGACCAGTGACTGATAACGGTGCTATTGTTGATGATGTATTGCTTACTGATAATACAGATTTTGGAGAGAAAGCTGCTCCTGTTATATGGGAATACAAAAACGAAATTGGGACAGGTGGAAAAGATCCAACAATTCAAGGCGGTTGTGAATATGCAAAATATTGGGCTCAAACAGATGTGGGGTTTTTTTAATATAAATAAATTGGTAAAAGAAAGAAGTCATATACTTATTCATCTAATTTTTTGTGTACAGATTGTCAAGCACCGCAAGTATTCTTGTTGTCCATCAATTGTTCTGGCCATCGCAGGACCTTGGATTTGTGTTCTCAGAGCAATATATCTTGAAAAACCTGTGATCGAGCTGTTAACTGACTTTATTCTTATGATGAACCGGCCTGAAGATGATGGTATAAGAGTGAAACAACTCGCTACACTCTTTGAAGCCTTACGTCTCGCATACCAAACATTGGACGATTTTTACAAAAATTTAAGCAAATTTAAAGTCAAAAAAATACAAAAATTTTTTCCTTATTGTGATCACTACCAAATACATGGAAATGAAATCAAGTTTATATATCTATACAAACTTACCGAGGATCCAAAAGATTTT